AAGAAATTTGCCCGACTTTCGGGATTGTGCCTGACTAGTACCCAAAAAATTTTTCCGGAAAAAATATTTCGGCCAGTGTACCATTTTAGGGGTCAAAAAATTTTTCCGGACATACCAAAATTTTTCGGAACATCACACAAATTTTCCAAACGACACAAAAATGACAACAAAATTGACTGAATTTGTCCCATTTATTTTTATTACAAACCAAAATTGCCCGACTGTTGATCGAATATTGCCCGACTGCCCAACAAACTGGGGGGGGGGGCTACCGCCCCCCCCGCCCGGTACGCCTATGCTATTACTTATAGATAATGGGCGGCGGGCGGGCGGGTGGGTGTTGGGTGGAGTTCAGCTTGCACGAATTCACTTTCGGCCGCCTGCTTGTGCAAGAATAATTTTTTGCGGAATTTACGAATTTTTCCCCACCTCCCTCCGTCCAACACTTCAGTAGAAAATTGAACTCGTGTCGTGCAATTTTGCATTGAAATGATTACAAATCCCGCTTCATGGTCGTGCGAGGCATGTTAGATGCAGTGCTATGACCCATAGAATTCCAATCAAACTTTAACTTCCAGGTAAGTCTCGATCGTTTAATTTTCAATTCTATTTCGTCATAACTGCATCCTGGATCCCATGAGATTTCAAAGCCAACATTCACATGAGAGACGCCATAGCAACAATCTTTATATAATATAACAAAAGCCCGCAATAACATATTTAACAATTAATGTAGAGACAACTCCGACATTGATAGGAATATATAGTTCCTGTTTGACTCATTTAGAGCTAAGAACAGCAGTAGCAAATGTTAATTTGTTCATTGCTGACAATATGTTTATGATAAAACGTGTCAAAAGTTCGCGACGAGGACCATCCTGCTCTACTGAGAATGTCCTGATCAATAGGAACCGAGACTGTTTTAACCTTTGAAGTCGCAGCAGCTCTGGTACTGTGCGGTTTAAAATATCTGAGTATCGACTCAGCATTTGTCATGGTTTGACGTATCCATTTAGATATAGCGTCCCTCGAAATTCGATGATGTGGTTTCGTATAACTGATGAAAAGTTTTGTTTCATTCCCGTTTAAGTGGTTTCGTTTGATTTATGTATGCTCGCATATGATTAAAAACACACAATGTTTCATCAGAAGGCAAAGTATGCAAAACAATTGAAGGGAGTGTGTACCCTGATCGACTTTGCTTCACATGTTCTGGTAACAAAAACTCAAATAAGGATTCATCCTGTTTCATGAGTGTTATATCAAGTATGTGTAGGCTTTGCCCTCTTTGGGCAGAAACCAGAGCAACCAACATAAGCAATTTCAATGAAAGGGTCTTAAGATCCAGGTTGTTAGCAGTTCCAAGAGATGATAGGTATGTTAGTACTGGTTGCACATCCCAAGTAGTTTGATACGTTGGCCTTGGAGGTTTGGACCGGTAGATGCCTTTCATTAATTTATCGTGAGATAATCGAATGGCTTCCTATATATGGTAGTGCATGGTCCCTTGAGGTAGTATGATTGCCGAAATTACATATGCTGTGTTTATTGTTGTGTACAAGATCTTGGTTATGAAGGTATACCAAGAAGTCTAACATGTCTTCTGGATTGTCTATGGTCCCACGGGACTGACACGATATATATTTAAAATACTCATTAATAATTCATAAACCTTGTGGCAAATCATGTCGCCATAATATGTCACGTGGAGTGAAACTCATCTTCGTTAGTATTCGTTTATATAACTGTTTATATAACTGTTTATCCTAATTAGTATGATTATATAATTGTTCATCCTAATTAGTATTCTTTTGTAGTCGTAAAAGCCCCGTTTACACGAGCAAATTTTATTTGACAAATTTCATATGTCAAAGATATTTTGCTCGTGTAGATGATAAATTTGTGACAAGTTTATTGTGACAAATGCATTTGAACAAAAGCTAGCATGCTAGCTTTTAGCTTTTGATCAAATGCATTTGGTCAAATGAAATTTGTCAAATAAAATTTGCTCGTGTAAACGGGGTTTAAAGCCATGCATGATTCATGTGATCCAACGTGACACATCTTGTGAGCTCATTGGCGAACGTTAATTGTTTTAAGCCGAGAAAATCAAGGGAAGCCTTGCAGTGCCTCAGAAGGTCGTCTCCAATTGGATGAGGGTTTTCTAAAGAACGAAGCAATTCATTGTTGTAAACACAAAAGCAATTGTCAAATCGAGCCAATGAAAATCACTCTTCCGAGCTACTGCGAGGCTACCCAAAATCAAAGCTGAAGTTTATGTAAATTAAAATGATTTTTATCACATACAAAACCACCGACAAGGTAGTAATTTCCTTTGTTTGCCATGAATTATTGATAAGTTTTTAAGCTGTTGCAATCCACGAGGGAAATGTTGGGAGAACACGGGTAAAACACGAGGCGTAGCCGAGTTCGAGTGTTCTCCCAACATCCCCGGCAAAGCAGTTTTTATTTGAAGCATTTAAGGTATGCTTTCTTAAATGAAATTTGTTTAGCTTTTGTAACTTTTTTCTGGGTTATTTTGTGTATTCCTGTAGCTTTTTGAAGTTTTTGTCGGCACTCCATTCAGAGACGAGCATTAGCCAAACAAATTCCATGTTATACCCCACTTATATTATAAATAAATTAATTTGATTGTTTTTCTGAAACTTTCACCTCTGCTCATATTAAATAAATAGCCTGAAGACGGATAGTAAACTATCCGAAACGTAGGTAAAATAAAAATATTATCAAAAACCTCTTGTGTGATTCTTGATTTAAATTAAAAACACAAAATTATTTAAATTAATTTGATTTATAATTACGGAAATTTTTAACATTGCAACAACACTTTTTTAGAATAGTATTTGAATTAAAAACTTTAACACAATATATTATGGTTACAAAATTTGCATTGAAATAAGTAAGATTTTATAAAATAGATTAATTTACTACAAGGCGAAAATGCGTGCGAAAACCCGTCCCACAAATGCCTATTTGTGCGTCCACGCCTCAACCCCAGCTATGCAGGCTACATAGATGTCAACTATACGCATGTTGTATAGATCGTAGACTCTCTAATATGCGATAGAATTTCAATTAATATACATAAATATTCAATATAACTCGTATAACTATATACAATATGGATACCTTTTGGAATACTCATGGCAATGATGAGATACAGCTAGTATAATTTATACACTATTTTAAGTTCTATTATATGTAATATTAAACGTAAAATTCACTGCACTCGCAGGAACACGTCGGTCAAACGGTCGCTGATTGTGCTCGAAAGTGTCTTCGCGAAGCTCAAAAGCAAAAAGTGTACAGAAAATGACAAGGGTGTAATCGTAGTAACTGTTCTTGTCAAAAGGAAAATGCGTTTGAAATTTTCGAGCTTAGACCTTCAGCAGTTTCCTTTATATTTAACGCTTTTTATTCCTATTATTTTGCCAGACATTCCCCCCTCCCCCATTTCTAGATCTGCAGACTCGCGCATGTGCTTGACGTTTCACCGCGGTGTTTGCTACAGGGACAACCTCGTACCCAGGGCTTCTGTTATCAACCACAAGCGCAGAAGCCTTGGGTACGGGGGTGCTGCATGTACACATGCGTATAATAATCATCTTCGTCCCAAGGGCTTCTCGACTGGTATACACGGAACCTGAAGTGCAAGAAAACTTGCAGCAGTTTTTAATGCGCATGCTTGTGAATTGATAGCGCTATCTCAAGTCTCAATGCTGGGACGAGAAACAGCAGTATTACAAAGAAACGAAGTATTTTTGTAGCTAAATTTGCCTAGCGAAAACTATAAACTGTTCAACTTCCGTTAATTAGCGGTTCTTCGAGAAGGCTACAACCAGTTTCAAATGTCTTGGGACAGATTCAACAAAAATATTTAATTTGAACAAACGTCCTTCGCCCCCTACTCAATGTTGTGTACCAATCGTCAGATTTGATGCGTTTTGGTATTTAAATTGAGAAAGTAACATTGATTAGAGAGGGGTGCGGTATTGTGTGTAACCATCCCAACAACCTTTGAAAGTGATTGTAAGTTTCAATAAGTGACCGAGTGAAAACGGCTCTGGGGACGAGAATGGTAATCCCCCCTGTCAATATATTGGGAAGTGTCCGCCACTGAATACGGTGAACCCTTAAAGATCAGTGGTTCTGCTTTGTTCTAGTTGTTGCATATTAATAATAATCGGTTCCCTTTCTTCTGGTACGTTGAGGGGAGCCTCTGTGAAATTACCAGACATTCGAATAACTTCTTCATACGAAGGTAAATGTTGTTGAGATGTGCTGGTTGCTAGAAAAAATTACAGACAATTCAAATTTATGAGCATATTTACAGGGCTGTCATAACAGTAAGCGGCGGTAGTGAGAATGTAGGTGGCTGCCCTCAATATACAGGAATATTTTTACCAAGTCTAAGAAATGTTTATCCTTTCCTTGAACGGTTTTCATTTACAAAGCTAAAATCGAAACTGATGTTCCGTTATCCTCCTTCAACCTCGTTTGATATTGCATTTGATGTGCTGAACTGATATCTATTTATACATTTGAATATTTGTCGATTTCGCACGCGCAAAACACTCTATATGAGCATTGACAAAAATATTTTACAATTATTCGCCAAAGTGGAGGTGAATTAGAACAGTGCAATCTTATACCACAACAAAACAAAAATGAGCAAAAAATAACGAAAATATTTTTAGAACAACTTGTATTTCAGCTCCCGTAATAGTGGGCCGGCACGAAGCTCTAGGAAGATGTTCTGTGATTGGTTGATTGTTACAATGACAAAAGAATAAGCTATAGAATGGATTTTCTAAAGAACGAAGCAAGAACAATATTCCTTTTGTTTATGTAAGCCAATTACGTCTTTTGTCATTGTCATAGTCAACCAGTCACAGAACATCTTCCTAAAGCTTCGTGTTTACTGGTAATAGTTGCCAACAAAACAGTATTTACACGCATTTAGTAATTTTATTAATTAGAAATAGCTTTAAAGAATACCTCTACACACGGTTAAACAAAACTTTGTGGTTTTCGTCGTGTTTGGAGAAACCTTTATATAGCACAAAAATTTACTGGTCTATTACCGGAACGAAACGGGAAGTCATTTTGTTTTTGTCCGGAGGTGAATAGTGCAACGATATATCCGAAGCCGGGGCGGAGTTGAGCAACCAATCAAACTGAGTGAAAAGCACTATCCAGCTCCCGAGTACATGCTAAACATGCTTATATACAGTACGACCAGGCATTATTTTCATTCACGTGATACTGACAACATCTAAAATTACTTCCCATGCTATAAATTAGATTCGTCCTTTCCTTTACGTTTAATTGCCTTTTCAGTTCTCGCATATGTATATATTTTTACGAAGTATTCCACAAAAGTTGTCTGAAAATATGCAAATTTGCTTATGTGGCAGTAGCAATATCACATGATTACAGTACTTGTTTATTATTTATATGACAAATTACGAATTTTACCCATCCATACCTTTCAAAACGCCCACATGTACTGTTCTTTTTATAGTTGAAAATATTAATTCTGGATACTCACTGCGTTCGAGAATCGAACCCACGTACTCAGGGATGAAAAGCGCTTGCTCTGACGACTACGCCATAATCATACATAGGCCAGGTGATCTTGATACGCGGAAAAGTACTGGCACTAGTTGTCAAATAGAAATCCATTTGATGATTAAAACAACTGAATATCTCCTGTAATATACTTTATTTCGATTCCATATTTTTGTCAGAGCTATAGTTCTCATAACCAAACATAATTACAAAATTTCAACTAGTTTCATAAAGAATAACGAAAGATATAATTGACTGAATACATCAAAATGGATTTCTATTCGGACAACCCTTTCTGAGCGCTGATTGGCTAAAATACGAACACGAGATCACCTGGTACATACATACATACATACATACACTTTATTTCAACACGGAAGAATCATCAGTACAAGAATAAAATACACAAATTTAAATATATACAATGTTAGTCAAAAGATAAAAATAATAATTACTGTTTTACATGATTGCCGTGCAAGAGTCCATATACTCAGTATACTATAGGAAATTAGTCAATTCGACTTTGAATGAATTGAGAGAAGGGGCTGATCTGAGCTGTTCTGACAAGCTGTTCCACAGGGAAGCACCACTGTTAGCTGAAAGAACGTTTTAAATAGTCTGTTCGAGGTTTTGGAACAGACAATTTATTTAGAGAATTTCTCAGATCATGATTGCTCACTTTGGGTGTAAATAACTGCTGCAAGTATATTGAGGAGCACAATTATTATTAACTTTGTACATTAGGATAGCTTTTTGCTTCATGCGATTTTTTGCCAAAACACTCCATCCCAACTCAGAATCTTTTCATGATCATAATACTTTATAATAGTAGTTGTGTGTTTGAGTAACGCTCACTGAATTGTACGTGGCTAAAGGGGATGGCCTCTATATAGGCAGGTTTTCAAGATGGCCGCCAGTTTTTAAGATCATTAAAACGTAAAAGAATCAACAACCAGCCACTTGCAACAATAGAGAGTTTGGCAACCTAGAACGGCAACGACAACGGCAACGGGGAAAATATAATTCCTTATATTGTTGTATTTGAGCCAAAGTATACGTTACTACACTTAATTTGCCTCTTTAAGTATTCCTGTTTCTTTCAAACGTACGTTTAAGTAAAAATAGTCCGCGAATTCAAATAAAACACCTCAAATAACATCGAACGAATTAATTGTTGCCGTATTCATGCACCGTGAAAATGTGCAAATCACATACTTGTTTCAACAACTACGGCATTGCACAACGCTTAAGACCATGAGTACCATGTGATTTACATTCGCCTTTGTCTTTGAGGATTAATGCTATTGTTGATGACCATATTGCTGTTGCCGTTGCCCTTGTATTTGCCAAACTCTCTAATACTAAACCTTATACCCTGACCCTTTGGAACCATCTCGTAAACTACCTCTCGTCCATCCCTTTTAGACATTACCCTCACTGAATACATGAAATAAATTAATTGAAAACACACTGGAAAAAATGAGATGCAAAACAAAGAACTGTCTCTCACCTTGAGCATGATAAATGGGATAATCCTCTGGTTTATTAATGACGTCATCATAGGCGGGAGGTGCATCTGAACCATATCTTGAAGGTGGTACTGCAGCTTCTTCTCGTAACTGTTGAATTGACATACGTTGTCTGACTAACAATTCCTCTCGCCTCCGTCGACTTCGAGCACGACACGTGCAGTACCATATTGTTAGAACAATCAAAACCAATATACAGATCGCAACCCTAAAAGATATACTTTTTATTTTCCCTTGTGTATTGAAGATAACAATGGTTATTATGAATATTATTTTAATATTACAATCACTATAGGAAGGACGTGGGGCAGTGTCTCAGATAATATGGTTGGCATAACATTATAATGTGGCAAGCACCAATGGACTTTAACTCTTGGTCTATTTGCGTTCTGGTGCTGTGTACTAGCCCTTCCTGGATCTATTTAACTCAGTGCACATTGACCACTTTTTGCTCTTCAATGCTATTCATACCCACAAATCAGGTTCTTTACTTAATTTTCTGCCACCTTCCATGCATATTTGTATGGCTTGCAAGATCGAAGTTCGTCGACAGAGTATTAGAGAGTTTACGATCTACGACGCGGTCTGAATTTCAGCTCAAGAATGAGCGCTAAGCAATTTGGTTACTGTAATAAATATTTGAAGCTTTTTCAAATAACCTTACAAACTGCTACGTTCCAATTCGGCTAAAGCGATGCAATGTTTGCTGTAATTTCGACTTTAAGTAACACCTCTTGGATCGCAAAATATATAAGCTTTCGCGTTGCCTGAAAGACGTAATAATGCTTAGTTTAACGTTGTGTTGAGAGTGACAAAGCCGTTGAGAATACCCCTGAACCACAAATTATTCACAGTTTTTGTCTTGCATGACATATTTCTTTGTTTCGAAGCTCGTCGTTGAAGCGGCCGCGTCGTAGACCGTAAATTCTCTAATAAAGTGCACATGACACGAAATTTTCCTACCATATTTTATATCACATTACTACAAAGTTCCTTAACAATTACGAATAACAATCACAGCTCATCTCGGCATTTTGTATTATAGTGTCATGATGTCACTGCAGGTTATGCTTACAATTGGTAGTAAATAAGAAATATTATATAATACCTTATTGAATTCTGATCGTTTAATTGGCTGTTTATGGTCACGTGATATTGAATAGAAAATTCCATTTCCCAAGAGCGCAATGGAATGCGTTCCATTGCACTCTTGCGAGTGCAATTGTACTATACGTTTTGTTCCATTGCACTCTTTGTGTTTTCGATAAATCGCATCCGTCAAAATGCTTCTCGTACGGTGATCGCAGTTTATTTTAACCCGATATTCGAAATTCAGTACTTAAATGGGATTTAATGCAAATACGACTCGTCAAAATGGCGAAAGCTTACAGTAAGCCTTTTAATATTAGTCTATTTTGGTATTATATAAAACAAATAATGAATGTTATTATTCGTGCAATGGTAAGAATATTTTCATTCGGTGAAAGATGGAATGTTCCATTCAACTCGGCTGTCGCCTCGTTGAATGAAACATTCCATCTTTCACCTCATGAAAATATTCTTACCATTGCACTCATAAACATTCATTATTTGTATACTAATATCTCAGAAGTGATTCAACGAAATTTAATTACATTTAGTACAGTTAACAAGTGCAACTAAAGCAAACATTTTGGAACGTTTATGTGGTTGTCATAGCAACATAGTAGTCACCTGGTCTCCCTCTTCATCAAACTTTCGCTTCCTCAAATAGGGTGGGAAAGGGTATTTTCGTGAGCCGTGAATGGTCAATATTTGTTCGCGTGAAATGCTTGATTTTAGTGTCGTGAAATGTGATTTGTTCTACAGCCGTGAGGTGTGATTGTCGATAAAAATGCTCCGTGAAATGAGAATTAAGGATGTCTGTTTCGTGAACTGAGATTTTGCTATGTTTCTTTCGATCTATTTCATAATAGTCATAATAGACATGATACGCGATAATCAATTTATATGATCGATCTCACTCGACCTATTATTATTATTATATTATTTTATTAGAATCTAGTTTTCCGTGAAATTGTTTTCTTAAGACACGTGAATCGTGAAACGGCTCTTTTTTTCGTTGTGAAACGTGATCCATACCCCCCTTTCCCACCCTCTTTATACTAAATGCCATTTACAAATTACATTTAACCCATTGAGCACCAGCATTCTCCCCTTGACGGGTAAAATCTTCTGACGTTAGACAAAGTAAAACAATAAGTAGGGCGCATTGGGGCAATGCAACCCAATGGGTTAATTTCGTTGAATCACTTCTGAGATATTAGGTTTTCTTCTTTTTGCTACCATCCTTCCCTTAAGCACAACCAAGCAGAACCAGTGACGTCATAAAACAAAAATACAAAATTCCCGATCAGGCCGAACGTGAAGAGCTGTGAATAAATTGGTAAGGCCATTCTTCATAATTGTCATAATACTTTCAAGTGATATATAACAATCGGGGAGAAAATTTCGTGTCATGTCCACTTTAATGTTAAAGTTGGTATATAAAATTCTGTTCAAAACAGTCGCGCAGGTAGGGTCTAAACTTTGGGGGCGAAATTTTGAATTTCTAGATTCATTAGAACGCTATTTCACGTATTTTAGGGCAAGCTTTGAAGAAAAGCTACAACCACAAAAAGCCATTTTTTAAAAATGGCTTTTTCTGGTTGTAGCTTTACAAAAAGCCATTTTTTAAAAATGGCTTTTTGTGGTTGTAGCTTTTCTTCAAAGCTTGCCCTAAAATACGTGAAATAGCGTTCTAGTGATTTTTAACGGTCGCCTAATGTTGTTAGATGGAAAAAATATTTCACGTTGTACTGTACACACAAATACAACAGTAAATAAACAGTAAATAGTACGATGTCTTCGTTTTTGTAATAAAAAGAATGACGCTCACTTGGCCGCCATATTTGAACATCGAAGTCGGTCATGACTGCTGCTATACGCGAAAATTCAAGTTCAAATGTGCTTTCAACAACCATAGGCATTTTTACTGGAGTTAGGATTCTAGATTCTAGTTAGGGAAGACTACAACTTTTATTGGTAAACAGAAGAGATGGGTATGATTATTCACACATCGTACACCTCCCCCCCTCCCCAATCCTGCCCGGATTTCGGCTTTTCACAAGGGTCCTTCTAAAGCCCCTTCTAAGCCACTGGTTCAAAATACAGAAAATTTCAATTTTGAACAACATGTTCATTTATTATAACATACCAGTAATATTTGACGGATGCATTAAATATTCCTGCAGACATTCCACTTAAGAACTATCCATTGCGTAGAAAATCTTACAAACATCTACCATCAAGGAAAACAAAAATTAGAAGTTAACACATGTAGTCTCTACGAACATCGCGAAACACTCGAGATCACTAAGGGCCTCGGTTCATATGAGCCAGCTAATCGGTAGCCTGCGTAGCAGTCGCTTTATTTTTTGAAGGTTTTGAGGATATTTTTATTATCGGAAAACTGATCAGAGTGAGATTTGCGAGAAACCTCGCGACAGTGATGGTCTTTCACGCTGCCTTGGGACTGTACTGAATTAACCGTGACAGCCTATAAATTTCACACAACTTTATTTCAAATATATGTTGCGACAATAACTAACAATTTTCTATAACTCATTTTACAGGAAGAAAATAGCTAAATGATGACGTTAACGGAAGATCATGGGGAAATTAATTTGCATTTATTACGTTCAAGGAAGAACACGTCAAAATCGATTAATGCGTAGGCATTGTTACAGATTTGCCCTTGACTGATAATACCCATATACTGGTATCTAATTTCCATATGTATATTATTCTCCAAATATATTAATATTCAATTTGTGCTCATATGAGAAATGAGCCAGCTAGGTGAGATCTCACTCAAGGTGGAATCTCAATCAAGTGGGATAAAATTTGCCATATGAACGCTTCATTCCACCTAACTGGGTAGTGAACCCTTTTTGCCAAAGTATAGTTGGAAAATACAAACAAAAAATAAACATGGAAATTTCGAGTGGAAGATTATATACCATTTTAGACCTAACCAGGAGCAGCCATGAGAAATGCAACTATTATCCAGATGATCTTGATACGCGGAAAAGTACTGGCACTAGTTGTCAAATAGAAATCCATTTTATGATTAAAACAACTGAATATCTCCTGTAATATACTTTATTTCGATTCCATATTTTTGTCAGAGCTATAGTTCTCATAACCAAACATAATTACAAAATTTCAACTAGTTTCATAAAGAATAACGAAAGATATAATTGACTGAATACATCAAAATGGATTTCTATTCGGACAACCCTTTCTGAGCGCTGATTGGCTAAAATACGAACACGAGATCACCTGGATTAATGGACCATTTGCATTATAGACTAAATTTTGATCTCAACAAGTCTAGATAAAAATTTCATCAACATTTCACAAAATTAGTAATATTCCAAAGTTTCGTTGCGAAATGTTGTAAAATGCGGATAATATAACCTTGCGAAGTTTGCCGTTTTTCAGTCATTTTGTATTACAAACGGGAAATTGACAGCCCCAAAGGTATTGGGCTGTCACTGAATTTCCCCCGCGTAATGCAAAATAACTGAAAAACGGCAAAACTTCGCAAGGCTATATTATCCGCATTTTACAACATTTCGCAACGAAACTTGGGAATATTACTAATTTTGTGATGCTCTTTCAAGCTGTGATGAAATTTTTGTCTAGACTTGTTTAGATCAAAATTTAGTCTATAATGCAAATGGTCCATAGGCCCTCTGGCAGGAATTGAACCTGTGACACTGCGAATCCTGTGCAGCACCTTACCAACTGAGCTATAGACCCATTGCACTTGACGTCACAGCGCCAGTAACGATGCATCTGGAGGATAAATTAGCAATCTACGCATAATATAACTTTTGTAAACAAAGCAAATTTTGTAAAAGTTTATAATAATTTTGTATTAAAATGGTTAATTTTTTCGCTGTATGCGGTTGTTGTACCCGAACAGATATTGTTAGGTAGCATCTGGAGGACACTCTAAGGATTTTTGACGTCAGTGCAAAGGGTCTATAGCGAGTCCAGAGTCTGGCGTTAGGCAGAGTACAATAATGAAGCAGGGTTAATTGGGGCGCATTATGTAACTTAATGGGGCCAATAAAGGGTTATCCATGGGCAGATAGTCTGGTTAACTCATTCAGTGCCAGTGATCATCCGGCGTTAGAGAGAAAAATAACAAACTAGGGCGCATAGGGGTGCAATGCAACTTAACCCTTTAAGTGCAGGCAATGTGCCCTGATACACTTCCTAGCTTACTTTTTTATCATATATACATTGTAAATTTTCTTTTTCTTTTTACTTTCTTAACTTTGTAAACACTTTTCTAATTCAAATCTTATTAGCGAAAAAAGTGTAACTAAACCAACAATAATAATAATAATAATACCTTACTATTTTATATACTAGTAAACAGAAGAATCCTGTTGTCAACAGTGCAAACTATCAGTATGAAGAATAATTTACTCTAAGTAATGAGCAGTCATGAGCAGCTGATCTGCATCTGCTTTACAAGGTGCGTCAATGGTGAGTACCCAGGCCAACGAAAAAATACCTGGGTTTCCGGTTTCCCAACCATACCAAGCTTTTCGCTACTGAAGTCATGCACCAACCCTAATCGTTTTATCTGAAGTTTGCAAAGAGTTTGGAGCAATTTTTTGTACCCAGTTTGTGGTGTTACTGTAGTTTTGTACTGTCTATATAAAGTACAATCTGTTTGTTCCAAAGTCGATCAGTACATTAGCCAGCTTATCTGCCCTATAAAAGAGCCGGCCACGCTGGCTAATATAACATTTAATGTTTGTGCCATTTGTACTGCTATACAGTAATTGACATATCACTCTCATGCATGAGCATTAACAATTAACAAAATTAACAAAAAAAAGAAAACCTGACTTATACCCTATACCTACGTTTTTGCAAGGGTGGGTAGTAGCGAAGTAGTTGTAGTTCGCTACTGTAGTGAACTACAATTTTCAAGTAGCCAGTAGTTTTTGACTACTTTTTTAAAACTGTAGCTGTAGTTATAGCAAACTACATTTTGCCTAAAAGTAGCCAAGTAGTTGACTACTTTTCAAGCAGCAAATCGCTATTCGCTACTTTTTAAAAATGTTAGCAACTTGATAGAATAGCATGATATTGAGACACGGTTTGCTTAAAATCAATACTCAATAGTCAATTTACACTCTTGAACACTGTAGTTCTTACAAACATGTTGCTTTGTGTTTACTGTTGCTACTCGTAAGTCGATTTGTTATAGGAATTACATTTCAGCCTGAGTTAGTAGATGCTCCAAATACAGTAAAACTAAAAAATATATAGCGAAATAGCGAAATAGTTCGCTACATTTTTTAAGCAGTAGCTGTAGTCAGTAGCGAACTACTTTTGTTCAAAAGTAGCAGTAGTTGTAGCTGACTACATATTTTTGAAGTGGCTGTAGTTATAGCGAACTACAAAAATTTTGTAGTCAACCCACCCTTGCGTTTTTGCATCGAGGAATAGGAACCCAGGTATTCTTTTTTTTGGCTGTATGTAATCTTTTGGATGATGGTTAAACTGTTAAATTATAAGACATATAGTACCAATAAAGTTAATGTAAGCTCTGATCAAATGAGGGTAAGATTGCATGGCAGCCACACGTGTGACCTTGGTTAGCGGTTCTTAATGTTCTTAAAAATATATAGTTGGGACACTTATCAATACTTTATTTTGTTAATTAATCTAGATGTTTGAGGCCCCTGTAACAATGAATGTGTGACTGCCAACTCCCATCAACTCTCCTCCTAGTTTGATGTACATGTACATACGGGCCGGGCTTTAGAAATATGACAACAGTGGTTGATCATAAACATGCTGGTCTGTCTGCATCCTTTGATCTCTGCGATTTTTTTCAGGGGTAAGGGGAAAATTTACAAATTTCTGAGGCCGGGGTTTTGTGTCGGCACTTTGATCTTTTTTTCTTGGGAATTAAAACTTTACTCGCTTATGCACCAGTCATTTGAAACCCCCGACCCCCACCTCGGGCCGGATACCCGGGGCATAACGGGGATATTCGCCTCGTTTTCACCATTTTGTCCTTCCCCGGTTACTGGGGAATGCGCAAGCTTTCACTGTGCTGGCTATTGGGGCCAATGTGCAGGGGATGGACACATTCCCGAAAATACTTTTTAAGTCTTCAGCATTGCTCCTTCGGTTATTAAATATGGTTGATTTGTCTTTGGCTTATGCTAATGCTTTTTTTAGTTTGTGTGCAGACATGAAGCTGCATGACATTTCATCCAAATTGTTTTAGGGCAGGTCGCGTAATTTTTAAAACAGGTGTAGAACAGCGCGAGTTATGTAACACAGTAAAAACATTTAATAAAAAGTTACCAGAAACAAAATTTTGCAATCAGATACCATAAGGAAAAAATTATATAAAATTATTAATACAGATCGAATATGTTTCAGCGACAATTTGACATGTTACAGTAGTATACTATCATGTTTTGTCAGGGTTTTAACTTAATTAATGATCAGTGCTGTATACAAGATTTCTGGGATGTTTTATTTTTTAATTACACAACTGTCACATTAAAAAGGCTTTCATATAGCGAGTTTAAAAGCTATATATATATATAATGAATATCAGGGGGAAGGTCGGGGGAGTTTGCCCAGACCTGCCAAGGTTCCCGCATTTCACGTAAAAGTTACGCATTCTGTATTTATTCCCGCTGTCCCGCACACATGACTATAAAATGATCTTAAAGATGTGGTACAGTCCGTATATATGTAAACAAATGCTTTGTTTACAAGTATAGGTATCCAAGATATTAAATTTTATTCGACAACATACAACTATTTATATTTTCATGATTCTAGAGTATAATAAATTATGATAAATTATATAAATAAATTATGAGTATAATTATAAATAAGCTTTGCAAGACCATAAAATGATCGAAATAAAAACCTAAATAAACTGTTTGTATAATAAAAAGAGGGCTCCTTTGTGCACATGCGCAGATCGGACTGTACCGCATCTTTAAAGTTATGCATTTTTACCATAATAATTATATGACGCTATCTATCTCACTTTTCATGGCATACAACCTTACCAGGAATATATTATAATAGTACAATAACTCGTTGACAACGCGCTGAGTAGAAAAGTTTTGAAGACGTCGTAAAACTATCAAATCTCACCATTTGCTATTGATATGCCACTGATCAGAGCTGCCAAGTGCCACACATTTGACCTGAAAGTCGCGCTTTTAAATTTTGGTTCTGTAGATACTAGAGGTGTGCATCAGATCGAACATTTATAATCCGACAATTGCCTAATGTTTAAAATCCAATCCGATATTTGATGAAGAATTCCAATCCGATCCGAAGAATTCCTTAATAAAATAAATTTCTCATTCAAGTTGAAATATTTAACCAAATAAATATAAAAGCAAGAAATACATGTCAAGAAGCTGGCAAAGTGACGTCCAATTGAAGTATCAAACGAATAATATGCACTGACAACCGCGATAATGCTTTGATAAATGCATGGAATATTAATTCTTGAGATAATACGTGGATAATTAATTCATTTTATTTCGGATATCGGAGTCCGATCCAATCCGATCCGACTATGAAACAACTTTATCAATCCAATCCGATCCGAAATGAATATTTTGGTTCCGAAATCCGAACGAATCGGATTTGCACACCTCTAGTAGATACAGCACTTCAGCGCATATTTTGGCCCAATTTCACCTATGAGTATGAACAATTGTGGAGGAGCCTTGATCAAATCTTTCATTTTTTATTAGCAATACCGTTAGAGAATTATAGCCAAGCTGTGAGATGTACACACATTCGTATCTTCCGAACTTGGCAGGTCTGTTTGCCCTACTTTACCCCCTGGTGAACGGGCAATTAATAAATGTTCACACACAAAGAGAGTGAATTCCCCTGGTGTCCCCGAGGTGTGTGTGTGTGTGTGTGGGGGGGGGGATTCGAATGTCTGGTGCACAACAAAGAATATAAAAGGAATTTAAATTGTTGTGCCACAAAATTTATCGGTAATTCAAACGACTACGAGATAATTAAAAACATTCTATGACAAAAATAATTGGACCATTTAATACGATTCAATGACCCAAAACATGCCAACATTGAACATTCTGAGGAGTAGTATAAAGTGGAGTACATTCGAATTTTATATACGCTACAAATAACAAATTAGAGTACGCTATTAAATTTATAATAAAATAATTTCTAACAATTCACCTACATAGTTAAAACATTCCACGCAGAAAAATCAGCATCTCTTTACACTATGTTGAAGTCAAGTGTTCTTGAAAGTTGAAAAAAGTAGTGATATTATTTAATAAATAGTGCACTTTTGCACGTATTTATAATTAGCTTTTTATAGGATACTGCATGCATAGATAGAATTGCTGAATTGGTGACAGGCTTATATGAAGTATAAACGCCTGGGCATAAATAATCGCAATTTTAAAAAATTCGGGTTGAGGCTGCACGCAGGCTATAGTGGTATTTTATATTTATATTAGAGAGGTATGCTGTCGCCTGTATGCAGTGGGTACGTTTATTATTCAGGACTAGCAGACGTCTAGTTGGTACAGATTTGGATGGCAACAAATACTATGAAGTACTTCAAGGTATAAATGTATAAGCTGTACGTGGATATTTATTGGACACCGGATTAAGTCCGGTGTCCCAGGATTTTCGCCCCCCCCCCCACATTTTCGCCCCCAGGGGCAAAATTCCTAGGAATATCACCCCCCCCCCTGGGGAGCGAAAGTCCTAGGAATTTCACCCCTCTTTAGGAAATTCCCCCTCCCCCCTTTAGAAACTTCACCTTTTCTTTAGGATTTCCGTCCTCCGTTCAAAATTTTGCCCTTCCTAACAGTTGCATGGGATAATTATTACATGGCTTTAATATTTGAAATCAGTATCAATTCAAAAATTGTTAAGACAGAGCTTGAAATAACAACCGATCACCGATCAATGATCGGCAAGGAATTGCTTATCTTATGATCAGCGGAAAAGCAGGGTTTCGGTGTCCAACTTGAAAAAAGCAGGGAAAGTCATGACTGCCGATCACCATGATCGGGAACTTTGGGAACATTATTTCAAGCCCTGTAAAGGCCCATTTACACGGTACGATTAGTTGTATACGATTCTTACTCTGGCGTATGTGATCGAATAAACACGCGTACAAACGTCACATTTAAAATTTCGCCATTAGCGAATGAGCAATAACGTGGCATTAGCACTCGTTTTCATTCGTCAGAATGACAATCGTATACAACTAATCGTATCGTGTAAATGAGCCTTAAGAATACAAATTTACAATTGCATTGTATCGAAATGGCTTACACAGTTACAGTAGATCAATAGGACTTATAACACTTCACAGCACACCATGCATATTTTGCATTTTCAGTGTTAATTCTTAAACTCAAAAAGTAATCACCGTGGTGGTTATTGTAATTATTGGTATTGTTTTGCATCCATGTTTTGTCGTTATTGGAAAATGTATGGCTTATAAGGCGAGACTTTTTTTATTCATTGGTTTACGGATCCGCTGACCGTAAATATTCAGAAAGTGAAAAATTTTTAAAAAAATTTGGATGTCAAAAATTTTACAATTTTAGTTAATTTTAATTAATTTGGGGTTCTGACATGAAGTACACTTCAAGTGAACTTTGACTCTAGGTACTGCTGGCTCATGTTATCGTTGTGACAATCAATATGTAGATTTATAGCCACGTTTTTTTCGGTTTTTTGAAATTGACGTTAAAAAATTTTATAAAGATTATTAATTTCGGTTCTCATTTATACTCAGTTCGTTTTTTTTTAAATTTTTTTCCGACCTACCGACCTCTTATTTTTAAAGTCAAATCTGTAAACCAATAAATAAAAAAAGTCTCGCCTAAGTTGTCACTATTTTTTACTTGCATTATTTCAATTACAATATAGTTTGTAAATCTCAGAAGCGAAGGGTAGAACTTGCCAATAGGCAAAATACTCCAATAATATACGTTTCAAAAAAGACAAAAAAGCTTTTAGTTTTGCAGAGTTACATTCTCAAATGTTTAAGGCACTAATAAAATCAAAGTATCATGAAATTATTTGAATAAATCACACCACATATATATCATGCAATTTTCTTAGCAGAAGTCAACAATAAATCCTATAGTTTATTGTTAACCACTCATTTGAGGTACGTAGACTAGTGTCATATTCTACACATCTAAAGTGGAGCCATTGCCCACCACACCGGTCATTAATTACAGGGGGGGCTGGTGGAAATGAAAAATTAGATGCTAAAATTAATCCCCCCCCCTTGAGGATAACACAATTATACTTGACCCCCTCCCCCCCCACATGAAAATACTGTAACAAAAGGCGCATTCGTAATTTAAAGCTCTTATAAAGTGAATTAGCCACATTTAATCATACTGCCCTATCATAGTTGCCAACGTAAAACATTAGGAATAAAACATCCGTGAGATTTTGCTTTGGGGGGCCCACAAGGTGCCACCATAGTTGGCGCCGAGCAGAAAAATTTGAAGATATGGAGTCCCTAGATCGTTGGAAATGGTATTTTCAGAGTCTTCTAAACCTTATACACACAAGTTTTGGTAGCTTTTCTTTAGATATACAAAACCATATTGTTGAATACCCATGCATGCCGGTACGAGGTTGCATGAAGTGATGTTTTGACTATTTTTTGCTTAATGGCGTGAATTTTTTCAGAAGAAAAAAGTTTTATGTAATTTGACGCAAATGAAGTCATGCACTCTTAATGGTTAAAATCTGCAACAAAGCCAACATATTTAACTGAGAACCAGTTGGGTTATTTTCGAAATCTGTGAGAAGCTGTGAGCTCACTGTGAGGTTTTAGTAAAATCTGTGATGCTGATGGTGGATCTGTGAGAGTTGGCAACTATGCCCTATATACATGTATCGTAATTTATACATTCTTTGCCATTTATGCAGGTATCAGCGGCTTTCCCGGGGGGTCGACCCCCGGGCAACTCACGGGAAACCCCCGGGCATGGCACGGAATTTGTTTTAAAATCACGCCCCGGAGACCCATTTGTATTTTGAAAATTAACCCCGGGGGCAAACGCCCGGGATTTGCATATGGACTGCTGCTATATCGGTCAGCGGTGATTCATCCAAAAAATTCTTAATTATGATTTTTGAAGACGCTTCGAACCTTCGAAGTTCGAAGCAAATTCGAAGCATTTCGAAGCACATGAACAATATACCGTTGATTGCAACTATAAAGCAGAAACATGTCATCAGAAAACGCGTCCAATTGGCTGCCAAACATGATTTGTTTGGACTTGAAATTTGGATTTGAAATATTGACACTCACAGTCAACTGTCAATATTTCAAATTTAGAAACACATTCATATTGGGCGGGGATTAGCTTGCAAACACTAAATCCGTGATTAAATTCGTCTGAATTAAATTCGACGTATGAAACAGGCCTTATATTTTGTGTTTATAGTGGACAAATTCAGTATTGCAGTTTGCAATGTTTGTACTAACTTTGTTACGTTTTCGCGGAAAAAATAATTGTAAACCGTCAAATGTTTCCAGCAAAATCATGTAAAGTTTGAAGTCCAAACATGTTATGTTTCATGTCCAATTAGCCTGCGTAGTCGGCAGTTTTAAGGGTTGGGGTCGAGGGGCGGGCAACGAAAATTAGGGAGGCGAGGCAAACCGCTGGCTACGCAAGCTATGTCCAATTTATAGATCGCGTTTTCTCTGCCTCGCACCCAGGCGCTTTGGTTTGTACACGTGGGACGGCACGCGTCCCACGCAAAGGCCAACGATGCAGGCGTTTTCTCATGACGCGTTTCCGCTTAGTAGCAATCGATGGTAGGTGAATGTAATTTAATCCTTTTATTTATAAATGAATAATTAGCTATCTATCCTCAATAAAAGTTGGAAACACCAGAATAATTGTTTGAAACTATAAAGGACACAAACTTTTTAAACGTTTTGTATCGGATACTGATTTATTAAATAGGTTAAAATAGCAAACGTATTAATAACAAATGTCCCGATATAAAATTGTGTATGAATTTTTAGTTCAAAAATATCTTCTTTACGGCCTACGCTTCATTGTTTATTGAACGAGATGCCCAAAATTATGTTAATAAGTATATTAACTTACTACAAATTTCTTTGTAAATAACCATTTGTTATATTTGAAATTATTGTTTTCCAAATTTCGCCCCGGAGGTAGGGGCATTTGTGACAAAATTTTGCCCCAACCCACGGGCATTAGTGTCCTTTTGTCAAGGCTGTTTTAACAAATCCCCGGGGTGGCCCGGGGGTCGACCCCCCGGGAAAGCCGCTGATACCTGCATTATTGAGTCAACGGCTGTTCCAATGTACATGTTTATGTTGAAATCAGTTTATATATATAATAAATGGTGTTGTGTTGGAGTTTACTACAGTTCTACTGCTCTCTATTTTTATCTGTAGGTTTTATGGTACAACTTTTCATGCATGAAAATACCTGACCCCCCTCATTTTCCACCAGCCCTCCCCCCTCCCCTGTAATTAATGACCGGTCCCTAAAATCATGTTGTTGTATTCTTCTGGCACTTTACATTCACATAACATATTATAAAAACAATCGCTTGCAAATTTTATCAATAGCAGTGTTAACAATAGCTGCCACAGTATAATCACTTGCTAATGCCGACTGTGCACACCACCAGCTGGCAGCTGCTAAGAAGCCTAAATGTGTATGTAATTTTGTCTCCTTGTAATAAATAAATAAATCACACAATAAATCTTTGTTTTCAACTTGCAATTGTTTTGTTTTTAGATCAAAAATTCAAAATTTATATGGGGGGGGACAAAATTTGGCTGTATTAGCCTGCCCCCCAGGAGATTCGCCCCCCCCTCTCAAAAGGGGGGTGATATTTCTAGGAGATTTGCCCCCCTGGGGGGTGATATTCCTACGAGATTTGCCCGGGGGGGGGCGAATATCCTAGGAATATCGCCCCCCTTTTGAGAGGGGGACGAATCTCCTGGGGGGGGGCGAATCTCCCTGTGACACCGGATCCCAATGTGGCATCACTGGTATATGGGCGGTATGGGCACATTGGTGGTACAGGCATTCAGGCTAATACAGCCGACACAGCATTACCCAGAATTACCTTAACGCTAACATTCATGTTTTTTGGACAATTTTGGTATTTTACCCTTGTTCTGGCCACCTGTTTGCAGGAGGAAGAACTCTGACACATATGTGCAAAATTTATATCCTGGCAAAATTAATGGTGAAATCAATAATCAAAATAATCAATATAAAATGCGAATTAATCAATTTATATTGAAAATATTGAAATCAATATAAATAAATAAAAGTGTGTCTATATGATAACGAAATTCACCCCATTAGTTTGTTGTGATTAATGTCAATCAGTCACTTGTGTATCAGTTCAGTTCCAGCTGTACCAATTAATCCTCCTGGGCCACCCCATGCCCAGGGGCCCTGAGAAGTTGTGTGGGACATGGGGTTAAACTTTCCCAGAGGCCACTATGGCCAAAGGAAGCCCAAAATGTAGAATGCACGAAATGTCAATTCTGAAATAATTAGCTCTGATCGACCTTATTCCTCTGAAATTTGTCACTGTTTTTCACTTGATTGAAAAGCATATATGTATTATATATCTAAATAC